GGAGATGAACCTTGAGGACTCAACCAAGTTTGGCGATTACGAGGTGAGAACCTGACGGATTTGATGTTGAAATGTGTGGATACACGTGAAAACATGGATTGAATGACTCCATTCACGCTTCTCTCCTCAGACTGACCTGACCTTTGTTGGCTGCGTGGGTATGCTGGATCCCCCTCGTAAGGAGGTCACTAGCTCCATTGAGCTGTGCAGAGCTGCTGGAATCCGTGTCATTATGATCACTGGTTAGTATTATGAGTAGGATGAATTATTAATACAGAAATGTGCTGTGATGTGTCCACCTGTAAAACATTATTATACATTTTTATTTATTATAAACTAGGAATTCTGTATTCTACATGGTATTTTTTACAACAATTGCTATTTTGAGGGGAAAATCTGTTAAAAACAAAAGTGTAGCCTAAAAATGTTTTTTGATTAAAATATAATGAAACTTAAATGTATTTAATAATGCTGAACAATGCCTCCTTTTTAAAAAATGCCCTGTATATGACAGTATATTTTAGAGCTTAATATGTCTTACACCACAGACGTGTGTTGTTATACAATCCTTATTGTGCGTATCTGTTAAAACATCCACTGCAATCATTTGTATCTACAGTTGACAGATTTTAAAACAAGTGTAGATAAAGTTTATGTGTTTCACCTCAGAAACATCCGTCATTTCACTGACTCTCCACCAAACTTCTCCATCTCCATATTTCAGGTGACAACAAGGGAACCGCTATCGCTATCTGCCGTCGCATTGGCATCTTCACTGAGGAAGAGGATGTTACTGGCAAGGCCTACACCGGACGTGAGTTTGACGATCTGCCCCTCCATGAACAGGCCGAGGCTGTGCGTAGGGCTTGCTGCTTTGCCCGTGTGGAGCCATCCCACAAGTCCAAGATTGTTGAGTTCCTGCAAGGTTTTGATGACATTACTGCTATGGTAAGAGCTCCGCAGCGTACCTTAACTTGACAGAAACAAAGCACATGTAATACTGTACATGTGTGTAGTTTGAGAGTAGTTTTTAATTTCCTCTTCTCCAACTTCCAGACTGGTGATGGTGTGAACGATGCCCCTGCCCTGAAGAAGGCCGAGATCGGCATCGCCATGGGCTCTGGCACTGCCGTTGCCAAGTCTGCCTCTGAGATGGTCCTGGCTGACGACAACTTCTCTTCCATTGTGGCTGCTGTTGAGGAGGGCAGAGCTATTTACAACAACATGAAGCAGTTCATCCGCTACCTCATCTCCTCCAACGTTGGTGAGGTCGTCTGGTGAGTGGTGTGACGTACACTCTGCACCTGAACGCCATATTTCAGCCATCTTTCTCTCTGTCTCTGGCTAACCTCAGTTTGTTCTATTATTTTCTTTTTCACTCTCTCAGTATCTTCCTGACTGCTGCCCTGGGTCTGCCCGAGGCCCTGATCCCCGTCCAGCTGCTGTGGGTCAACCTGGTGACTGACGGTCTGCCCGCCACTGCTCTGGGCTTCAACCCCCCTGATCTGGACATCATGGGCAAGCCCCCACGTTCCCCCAAGGAGCCCCTGATCTCTGGCTGGCTGTTCTTCAGATACATGGCTATTGGTGGTAAGTAAGATTAGATTTGTGTGTTTGGATTTAGTTTCAATGCAGGAAAAACACTTGCCTACACTGATGCTGTGGCCTTTTTCCTGACAGGATACGTCGGTGCTGCCACTGTTGGTGGTGCTGCCTGGTGGTTCATCTATGATCCCACTGGCCCCGGTGTCTCCTACTACCAGCTGGTAAGTAATTTATTTGATGTTGTCTTTCACAAACACATATTTACGCAGACACTGAATAACCTCAACTTTCCTCCGTGCAGTCCCACTTCATGCAGTGCCATGATGAGAACGAGGACTTTGTTGGCCTTGACTGTGAGATCTTTGAGGCTTGTACTCCCATGACCATGGCCCTGTCCGTGCTGGTCACCATTGAGATGTGCAACGCTCTCAACAGGTAATTTGTTTTAAAATGAAAATACACCAGGCTTCAAGTTCAATGACACACTTAATTCCAATTCTCATAATTCCTTCTTTCTTTTCTTTTTCAAGCTTGTCTGAGAACCAGTCTCTGGTGCGCATGCCCCCATGGAGCAACTTCTGGCTGCTTTCTGCCATGACCCTCTCCATGTCCCTGCACTTCATGATCATCTATGTCGACCCTATGCCCGTAAGACAGCCGCCAGTGCTCCCTACTGTTTGATTTAGGAGCTCCAAATCTCCCAGTTCTAGGAATTATATTGAAATATTGTCCTCTGTGACGTGTAGTTTTTGTTGTAGTTGCTTTACACTGCAGTTTCGCAGCAGTTCTGACTGCCACTCTTTTGCCCCCTAGATGATCTTCAAGTTGACCCATCTGAGCGTAGATCAGTGGCTCGTGGTCCTGAAGCTTTCCTTCCCTGTCATCGCCATTGATGAGGTGCTGAAGTTCATTGCCCGCAACTACGTTGAGTGTAAGTAGCCTTGCATTTTTTGCATTCACTCTTAACATATTGAAAAAATAAAGATGTACCTTATTTCCTAAAATAACAGTTATGATCTCTTTTGAGAAAACTTTAATATCATTTTAATCATTAATACTGTTTTTTGTTAAGTATTTGTTTAATATTATATTAATATTCATCCTTTACTGTCATTTAATTTTATCACATCATCCCTTCATCAATCTACAAATCCATCATAAGTTCTATAATGCCTGTTTTCACATGTCTGATCTTTCTCATCACTATCTATCTATCTCTTACTATCTCCTCTCTCCATTCAACATTAACTCACTTAACCCCTATTTGTTGATTTACAGACTAAATTCAGTCAACCAACCACCGTTAGCCTGTAACTATATCAAGGTATTCTATGGCTATCAGTGTATCTATATTTTGTGTGTATGTTAGTGTATTCTTTTGTTTTGGCGTGTATGTTCCTGCTCCTATGCAAAGCTGTCTTCATTGGTGTCTACTGTATTTTAGTATCACTCCGCTGTTGATGTGCATCTCTGGGTTCTCCCTACAACTTAATTACATAATTATAAAATTAATCTAACCTCTGTCACAAATTGACACGGTGGCACGATGACTAACAAATTGGGGGATCTCTCAGCGCTGCTATCTGTATCCAATGTCCTCCTTTGAGCTCTGTTTGTTGTTATTTCTGTACTGTACTGGCTTATGAGATGCCTCAGAAGGCAAGTTTATCTCCTCTGAGTTGCTGCAGTCAATGTCAGCATTATAGCCTGTTTGTTGGGTTGTTTCTGTGTGCAGTAGTGAGTCCCAGTTCTGGTACCACTTTTGGAAAAAGGCTTGATATTGTCAGTGTCCCACAAAACCCTTTGGCAACACTTTATTTTAACTCTCCCAATCAGCATTTATAAGCAGCACATACACATTTGAAACACATTATAATGTAGTTTTAAGCAGATAGAAGTGTTTATTGATGTAGCTGTCAACAGATTTATCTCTTATGAAGCCATCCATAACAGGATGCTGGTATATACGCAGATACTGAATGGCAAATTATAATATAATACAACTGTTATATTATATAAAATATGTCTTAATAGGAGTTATAATTGCTGAAAATATATATATCTTCTTTTAACTATACTATAATATGTTATAAAATGTGTATTTTATGTTTACATACTGCTTATAAATGATAGGGGTTAAAGTGTTCTTCTTCTTATAAATATTTGGGAATTTAGAAGGAGATTGCCATGCTGTTCATATAAACCAACTAGTTCTTGAAAAGAAGAAAATTTCCTTCCTGAAAGTGTGTGTTTTCTGTGATTATCATTCAGGTGTGTTCAAGCTACATTTGCATCTTTTTTTACAACATTTACCTTAAGGGGCAAGTGGTAACAGTTTGTCCCATTTAATGAGCTTTAACACTGGGGGGGGGGACAAACCGCCTTTCCAAAAACTAAATGTACTGAAAATGAAATCCCACCCAGCTGGAGCTTCAACTTTGAAATGTTCAAAGCCAGTTTAACCCAGACCTGAGCTTTCTCCACGGTCCTCTCATGTAAACACAGCATTATTATTGCATTGCTCCTCAGCTGACTCAGGAAGCTTGAGCCTGTAGGTAAAAGCAAAATGCTTCCCATTGTCCCGCCACTGACGCTGAAATAGTTTACTTGCTGCTTTCAGTAGATTTAATGATTATAGATCACATCTAGCTCTTTTAGTGGAATTAGTTCTAACGCTTAGTAATGATCACATGTTCGTCTGCAAAGATAGTTTAAGTGCTGGTCTGCTTAAATTGTCAAAAGGGTCATTGTGTGTGTGACCAAATCATGTGTCCAATAGTCCTTTCCCTCTCTGATTTATCTATTTTCTTTTCTTCCCCAGGTACAGAAGCTATATAGAGATGTAGAAGAAGAGGATCTTAAGGGTTGGAGAGAAAGAGGTGGAGAAGAGAGAGAGGAAGATAAAAACCAAAGAGGGGAGTCATAATGAGCCAACCAATAGAAGAGAGGGGAGAAAACACAGGAAAATGTACAAAAAAATAGCCTCTATATAAGGAAGGAGATTGAATTAAAACGAGGGAAGTATCCCTGCTGATAAAGTATTAAAAATATTTAAGATTTTATTCTAAGAAATAAAGTATGTATTAAAAGTGATTTTTTTGTTAAACTTGGATATCCTCAGCTGTTGTGTTTTTGTGTCCTCTGTCCATTTTCATATGATTGACTTTCCAGCTCATTATTTTTATTCTAGTCTTTGTTGCTCGTGTCTCGTGCAGCCTCCCTGCTTTGGCTGGGCTCTGTACAGTGTGGTGTAGGGTTGCAAAATGACTTCATATGGGCAGAAAAACTTCATGCCTCCAGCTGCCAGCGCTCTCTATAGGCTCCATGCAGTCAGCAGACTCTGTTGGAGGTCTCATGACATAAAATGGGCATGTCCACTCAGTCACAACACTTTTGGTCTTATATATTGTTTACGTGATAAGCTGCAATAAAATGATGATTACCAACTCATGTACTTGTATTGTGGAGCACATTTTTATTGAACTTTTAAACACGCATTTGGATGGTTGTTCTCTGTATCTACACATCAAGAGGTGCAGTGATTTCAGTGTTTAACATCCAGGCTTGTAAGTGAGTCAGAGAAATTTAGTTTAATTCTTTTGTTGTTTGGTTTATAGCTTGTGTCAGATTTTCTGACAGTATTTCTGGCTTCTGAGTGCTGCACAGTGTCAGTTCATCGGTCTTTGGTTTGCAGAGCTGCATCAATCTGGAAAACCCTAAATCTGTTAGATGAGGGTCCTGAATGGTATGTTGACTCCCTTCATTTGCTTCTCATAATCTTCATCAAACATCTTTGATTGCTCGGGTGTGAAATGGTTTGTCCAATCGCCTACTTCACCTGTAAAGAAAGAGATATACAGTAAAAATTAATAACTCTATGTTGTAATTAGCAAATAACTGAGAAGTTCTTAAATTATTTTCCTTAAAAGCATCTATTGTCGAACATCACATCAACTAGCAATTATTTTCCTTATCGATTAACATGGCAACTATTTTCTTGATTAATTGTTTAATGTCAGACAACAGACATTTTCTAAAGAAATTTCAAGAGCCCCAACTGATATCTTCAAATTGCTTGTTTTTGCTGGAAAATAAGCCAAAAACATAAAGAAAGTCTAATTACTATCGTACAACATAGAGGAAGAAAAGCAAATGTTCACATTTTTGAGAAGCTGCAACCAATAGATTTTGGGCATTTATCCTTGAAAGATTATTTAAAAGATGAAACACTTATTAAAATAACCTTATAATTAATTGACTATATCAATACAGCTATACTGAGCCTAAAACAGGGCAAGAGGCAAGAAATCCAGGAACCTCTAGGGGGAGCCACTGTGCTGTACAATGTGAAGTTGAGGCAGAAGACAAATCATAATACAATCAATATAAACTTTGATTCTGCTGAGCTTTCATTGACAGAGAGGTTTTACATTACATAGTATTCGTGGTATTTTGTCAACCCTCCTTGCTGTGTGCTCACCGGAGTGAGATGAGGTGTGATACTGTATTCACCCAATGCAGATCGCTCATCCCAAATTTGAAACCTGGGCCTTTAACTATTTGGATCAATACCTCTTTTCTAGACAAGACTAAGAGCAGATTGATGCACCTTTTCTCATGAAGGGAGAGATGGACTGATCAAAAACAGGTGCTGGGACGCAGGAGTAGTTGGTCATTGGGTTCTCCTTCATGTTCTTAAACGACGTGAGCTCCACGATTTTGCTGATGACCTCATCAGAGACCGACAAGTCCAGGTACCTCATGATGCGCTCCACTTCACGCCGAGGATTCTGGGGGTGTAAACGTGATGGTAGGAGTTTGTACAACATGCTTTGGTAACACTTGATCAATAAAATATTAGAAAGATCCATATGTTACCTCTTTCATGTCCTCATAGAAGAGGTAAAGGATGTTCCTCTTTTCTCTCTCAGCCCAGTAACCTTTCACATGGTCATACCAGGAGCCCCATGACACTGTAGAAAGGTTTAAGGTAGAAGGTTTTATTCATGTTAAATTACTTGTTTTTATAGATAAGTTATTAACTCTTAGGTTGCCAGTTTGTGAAATATCTGTTTGGCTGTGTTTCTATCGTGAGCTCTTTAATTCGCTCCCTAACATTTATTCCACTTACCTTCTGGGACGGGGCTGCAGGGAATCTGGACCAAAATCCATTTATTAACTACTTAATATTTTACAACTGCTGACTGATTTATAACTGCTGATGTCTCATTTATGTTTGCTGTTGGCGGATTAGAAAGTGAGAAAACTTTTAACTGCAGAACTGATGGATTATTACAAAGTTAGAAACCCACAGGTATCTATTAATGCATTAATAACATTTATACTTGCAGATTTGGTGGGTTATTAGAAAGTGAGACACTTTCAAACTGCAATTACAGATTTTTTTTTCTTTTTCCACTTGGGGGAAGAAGAAACAAGCTGTAAACAAGAACTGACATATCACCAACAGCTGCCTATTTACACATCCAACAGTTATGGATCAACATTAATATTTATGTGGAGTTGTGTTTCTGGTCACGAGACAAATGTAATGTATTCACTGTCTTTTTAACTCTATTTTTGGTCTCTACCAACTCCTGAGGAAAATAAGCAGCTAAATGCTCCACTATGTTCAGTCGCTAACTGTCTGTCTTCAGTTTGGTGCTGAGCAGGTTTTGCTATTTTGCTGAAAACAGCCTCTGTGGTCACAAACAAGGCTACTAGAGAAGTGAATGAACAAAAGTTGTAACATTGTAAGAGAAAAACAAAAACAATGAGCTGAAAGCGGGTAAAATGCTCCTTAGAGCTGAGAATATAATTCTCTGTAGGGTTAGTACTAGGAACAACATACAAGTATCCACATTGTCCACTGCTAACACAAAAATATTACATTTTAATAAATCATAATAATCCAACAGTCTGCAGTTGCAAATGTTTATACATTGGTGATAAATAGATTTTGTTCCAGGTGGTTCCACTGGAGCGATCAAGTTCATATTTCAGGAACACCAGTTGAAGGGATTTTTCACAATGTGCCAACCTAAAAGATATTCTTTAACATGACGAACTCTTATAACTAGTCTGTGAAGGATTAGAAAATTATTTATTAACCAGTAATAAAGCCATTTGTTACAACTTATAAACCTTTAAAAACAGTTAAGTCCCAACTAAAAAGACAAAAAAGACATCTGTGGCAGTAAAGTAGCAGTGGTTTATTGATGGCAACTGGACACCAAAGAAGAAATAACTAATCTTAGGCTTAAAAATGTACCAGTTGAAATTCTTTTGTAAATCTTGAAGGAACATTTTTTTCTGATTGGCATTACTTCCACTCTACCGCAGGGTGCAGCTAATCTTGGTCACTGAAGCATACCAAATGTCTCATATTCTCACAAAAACTGTGAGATAAGGAAACTAAGTTGTCATGGATCACAGAAGTCACCAACCACTTTTTAGAAATAATTGTCTTTTTAAATTTGCAAGAACCTCAGGCTGGTGGAGTATACCAGTTACAATGACATCAATTATAATAATCAGTTAGCTGGGAGGTAAGATGACACTCAGGAATTTATTTTAATCTACTTACACTCTCCACACATGAACTTGTGGATGTAGCCCTCCCAGGGCCCCGGCTCAGGCTGGGTCAGATTCATACAGTCAAAGTGGTAGTAGCTCACCAGGTTGTCTTTGGCATTGCGTGCCACGTAGATAGCCTTTACACACGATAAGGAGGGACATGTAAAACAGGATTTACAACAATACAGAGAATGGGTAACTAAATGAGGCAATTGTGGCTATGTATTGTTCACCTCTCACTCCATTCACCTGCAGTGTATCAGGAACCCTTCATCTTAGTACCATGCATTTACTGTTCAGCTTGCAATACAGTTCATTGATTCTACTCTCAGTTGAGTCTGACAGATCGAGTCTTACCTTGCACTTGTTTTCCCAAAATCCAGGAGGCACCAATTGAAAAGGAAGATGTGTCTTTATAAGTCTAGGTGGATCCATAGTCTTCAGAAGATCAAGACCTGAAACATAAATTCAGGGAATATGTACATTATGAAAGTAATGAAACAAACTTTTTATTTTTTTTTTAATTTTTTAAAAGTATTTTTTGGGGCTTTTATTGCCTTTATGATAGAGATAGCTGAAGATAGACAGGAAAGGGGGGCAGAGAGAGGGGATGACACGCAGCAAAGGGCCGCAGGTCGGACTCGAACCATGGGCCGCTGCAGCAAGGACTCAGCCTCGGTACATGGGTCGCCAGCTCTACCCACTGAGCTTACCGGGCGCCCAGTAATGAAACAAACTATAGCTTCTTACCAAAGAACACCCTGTACATCCTGTAGTAAAGATGTATGTTGTCATTTTAGTTAATTTATAACTTTTTAATAGCAAATATCTGGCAAGCAAAAAAAAAAAACATTGTACAGGATTGTACAGGGTGTTCTTTTCATTTGCGTAACTCAATCAAGGAGTATTCACCATCCAACTCTGCAGATCATTGATGATTGCTTCCATTTCCAAAACTGGAAACAGGGGCGAACATCTAGCCTTACAGCTAACCTAGCTCCTACATAAATTGTAGCAAAGTCCACTTACCAGCACCTCTACAGCTCACTTTATGACATGTACCTCATGGTGACATCAGGGCTCTAGGAGTTCACTAGTCCCAACCAAGAAATACTCAAGCACATAACCCCTTGTAAATTGAGCAAGACATAGCCTAATGTGTTTAATTTGTGAGCTTTAGAGATGCTGGTAGAAGGATACATTAGAGCTAAGGAGCTGTTTCCCCCTGTTTCTAGTTGTTTTTATGCTAAGCTAAACTAAGCTAACTGGTTGCTAGCTATAGATTCATATCTACTCGCCCTTTTACAAATGCACTCACGATATCTAAAAATATCAACAACAGAAAAGACGCAGATTTCATTTTTTTTTTTCTGACAAAAGTAACAAATAAATAATTTGGGTAATGCTCAACTTTGCTAAATCTGGAATAATTCAGGTTTCATCTACAGTACCAGTATTGAAAAACTGACTATTTTAACCTGACCACTTCAGTGAAAAACAGAAAATTCACTTGTTTTTATGGTACTCAGAGATTGCAGTGTTTACATGTTGGAGTCTGTCACTCCAGAAGTTTGGCACTGAGTAAACTATTTATGGGTTAAGAGCTCATTGACCCTGATAAAGGCGAAGGAAACAAGGCGTTATGAAAACATTCCTCCAGGAATTGGATTTGTGAGTTGTGACATGGCACAGTCAGACATAGTTGGAGGATGTATTTGAAATAAAATCTTAAGTTTTCGCAAAAGGTAGTGGACACAAAGTGGATATTTTGGACAGAAGGTGCAGAGGAAAATAGGGGGCTCACGTGGAAACAGACTCATAAATACGCACCTGAGGGGATGGGTGGTGGGGAGTTGATCTCTAGGAAGGGACTGCGGACGGGTGTGGGGGCTCGTTTGCAGGCCTCAGCATCTCCATTGTGAAGAAGCAGGTCAATTATCTCCTGGGTCCATGTGGTCCCTTATGTCCCAAAGAGACACACAAGAGTTGAACGAAGAAGAAAAATAAAATGGTGTCTTTTCAACAGTTTTACTGCGCCTACTGTTCATATTGTACATTTATTAGCGTAGCATATTCACATCTACCCCTTACTGTTTATTCTACATATATATTATCACTATACATATGTACATTACTCATTCTACGGCTTTTTGCACTCTTTGCACTGCTTAACTACATTTTGTTTTCTCAATACTTTAGCCTGTGCAATCACAATAAAGTTGAATATAATATTTTACAGAAATTAGAAATGTCCCTCTATGAGGATTTTAAACTATTATGTGTTATATTATTATATTGTAATTTATGTTGCTGTTGTCAAGGTGGCGCTAATTTGAACTCTTTTACATACTGTTGGGTATTGAAGTCCATAACAATGCATCATATATATATATATATATATATATATATATATATATATATATATATATATATATGCAAACTCAATATTTTGCTCTGATATATAGATCAGTCAAAGTGTTAAGTAGCAGAAAATGTACTGTGTGAACACTAACAGAGCTTCAACATAAAGACATATGACACAATGAACATATAAGATCTAAAACTGATTAACTACTTGGAGATATATGTAGTATATAGAATAGAAATGCATGTATAGGTATATACATATAAGTAAAAAAGTCAAATTAAAAATGGAAATGGAAATATAATAAGATAATAAGTGAATGTAAATGTAAACATATTCCACAGTATATGCTGACAGAAATTAGATAGTAATGAGTTTTAAGACTGTGGTGTTGCAGAAGTTATACATTATTAAAAATAATGACTGAATAATGACAAGAATAGATTTACTGTATATGAGCACAGCTGCATGAAGCACCTGTCTGAGTACCTGCTTTGGGGTAGGTGGCGATGAGGAGGTCTGAGGGGTCAGGACGGAAAGCCCAGATGGAGTCCCAGTTGTTGGCGATGTAGCTCATGAGAGGAACTCCTCTGACTGGGATGAGAGGGAAGCGAGTGATGGAGGCGCTGGCCTTCTGAATGGCTTCGCTGTAGGAGATCTCTTGCTCCCCTGACATGACTGAGTTTACTCACAAGTTACAAGTTTACTCAAGGAAATAACGAATCAGAAGCCAAAAAAGGTATGCTGAAAATGGCTGTAAAATGGCTCAAACTAAGCCAGCACAGTGGTTTCCCTGAAGTCCTGTCCTCTGCAGCTCCTCTCTCAGCTGGCTTTTGGTCCTTTGTCAAACATTCACAGCTGATTAGCTTTCGTACACCAACTGTGAAAATCTCTTCCTGCTTGATTGTCAGACCCACAATCACTGCGCATACATCCTCGTCATTCTTTCATTATCTCCGCCTTTTCTGGGTGGGAATGTTTTGGCTTTGTCTCCTCTTGATTTCTTGTGGTTTCCAGCTTAATCCTCTCAACAAACATCTGAATCCAAAAACCGTCCCTCCTGGACTCCCAGCAGAAGCCTGAGTGCTTCAGTCACTCTAAAATGAGTCCCTTTTCTCCCTCCTTCTATCTTTGTAACCTGACTGTCTGAGTGCTTGTACCAGGTTCTTGTCTGTCTGCGATCACAGGAACCTGCACAGGCAGACCTACACTAAAGTGCCCTTATGTAACATTCCTAGTTACGTATGAATTCCACTTTTGCTCACATACTATCTGCTTCCTCTGTAATTTGAGGAAGGGACCAGGGCGGGTCTTACAAGACCTCTACACACCACAGAGAGCTAAGCAATAATCACACATAAGTAGTACAAAAGAGAAGGATCAAAGCTCAGCAAATGCTTACGTTAACACGGTATTATTTCACTCATGCCACTTGTGCTTCTTGCTCTATTACCAAAGAAAATTGTTGAATATTTTCAATATTCATTACCAATAAAAAGCTATTTTTTTTATGAGACACAGAAAATGTGTAGACACTCTGCTGCTAAAACATACTTTTGGACCCAAACATTTGAAGCCAAACCTAATAGCAGTAAAAGATGGCTTGATAATGGTCTGCTATTCTGAATGCTCAGTTCAGCCAGAAGGTGCTGTTTTGAATAACATTCCAGGATTTCCACACTCAATATCCTGCCAGAGGAAACAATATTTTCACTGAAAATAAGCTCAGCCTGACAATGAAACATTTCACAATGGACAGACTCCTCTTTAGAAGTCAAAAGACTGCATTTGAGTAAATGTCTTTTAAAGTTCAGAAACCCATTGGAATAAGTATGAAGTTTAAAGCTGCCAGAAGGATAACGACTTCATTTTGAATATATCCGTATTATATTTGAGATTTGATCCATGTAGAGAGAAAGGAAGAAAAAATTGGAAGGTTTCCTCAAACAGACAGACAGAGCTGAAACTGAACAGTAATGACTGAAGAAGCTAATTTTGTTTTAGTTTTGTAAAGAAAATGAGAGTGAGATCACATGAGGAAATAGGGAAACAAAAAGCTTTTCCTCACAGAATTTATGCTCCAAAGAATACACAGACACATTGTGTTAGAGGTTATAGTACAAAAGGTAGGTTTATAGCATCAGGTTTACAGTTTATCAACGTTTACAGCAGCAGCCTCCAGTCGATTGATTGAGAATGGCAAATTATGTGCTTTTAGCACCTTATTTGAAGCAATAGACACATATCTGAGTTACCAACACAAAGAAATGGGGGAGGTGCCCCCATGTGACAAAAACACTACAAAAGTGCCCTCTTAGATGCTCCTATGGTAGAAAAAAATAAAGTGCCCTCTTGGATGCCCTTCCAGTAGACAAGCAGAGGTAAAGTGCTAATCAAAACAATGACTAAGCTGTTGTACTTTATTATTTTATTGTGGACAGCCTAAGTGCAAGCCCTGTGCAATACCCATGCTGTCTGATCAGCATCTTGATATGCCACACCTGTGGTGGATGGATTATCTCGGCAAAGGAAGTGCTCACTAATACAGATTTTGACAGATTTGTGAACAATATTTAAGAGAAATAGGCCTTTTGTGTACATAGAGAAAGTCTTAGATCTTTGAGTTCATCTTGCGTTTATAATTTTGTTCAGTGTAAATGGTTGCACAAAGCTGTACAATAAACATACCAATTTGCTGTAAAAATCAGGTGACAGGTAATTTATTTCATAACTGGCATTAAATTCTCCTTCTGTTTGTTTCATACATTTCTTTGACATGAAATTTAGATTAATTTTAGAAAACAATTTAGATTTCTGTTATTATAGCATATTGTATTTGTTATTTTTTAATAGTAGCAGTTGAAGTAGTAAAATTTATATTCTTTTTTTAGTATTTGCATGCTTTTAAAGAGGCAATCCACTTATTTTACACATAAACGCCAGTTGACTCATCCTGGTTAGTTCTGTTAAACTGTTCATTTCTATGGCTCTGCGGGAGCTTGAGTTAGGTTTGAGACTCCAGATATTTGACAAGAAATCTGCATTAAAAGCTGGGAGAGTGGAGTTTGAAAGATGGGACATTTAACTGTGAGGGAAGGATAAGCAAAGTCAATATGTTTAATTCATAATAGGGTAGTTTTAGCTTACTGTGACAGGATGTTTACCACTTTCTCTCTCTCTCTCTTGCCCTCTTTTTGCATAATAATTTATTTATCATGTCCATCCCTCTAACCCATGTTTCTTTAAAAACTGACCTGTTTAACTTTCTTACATTTAAAAGCAAAAATTCAATATAAGCAACAAACAAAAGTAAGTAAGAGTACATATGTTACTTTTATCTTTCACTCAAGTCTAAAATGTAACTTTTAGCAGTTAAATAAATACGGGCCCAGTTATCTTAAATTGACAAAGGTAATATAATTGAAACAGGGCTCACCTCATAGATAAGAAAACCAAAGAATATGAATACAAGTATTCTGTTGTGTAGATCTCAAGGAACATTTTGTTCACCTCTGCTTGGCATTCACTGCAGTCTGCAGCCTTGCAGGGTGCTGCTAATCTCATCATGGCCACTGAGGCATACTAAGTATCTCATGAGGAAAAACAGTCAAGAAATGAACTTATTTATCTTATCAGTGTCATGGATCTTAATGTTGCCTAATATTTCTTTTTAAAAGACGTTGTACAAATAGTAAAATTTCTGTTTTACTGGAGGTAAGATTACTCTCAGGAATGTGAAACCTTGCATGAACTTGTGGATGCAGCCACCCACAGGGACCTGCCTCAGGCTGGGACACACTTATACAATCAAAGTAGCTCACCAGGTTGTCTTTGGCATTGCGTGCCACGGACATTCATGATCAGGTTGGAGAGATGAAGGCAGGATTTACACAAACAATGCAGAGACCAGGTAATCTGAAGAGACATGGTGTTGTATTGTGAAACTTGATCGTTCTTAATTAAGGCCTAAGATGTTAATATGGGGAAAAGGATATGTACATACTGAAAGGGTTGAAACAAACATCTGTTCACAAGGTTGAACAATGAGCACAAAGGGTCACTGATTTTCCACCCTCATTTTTCAAAATACACATAGTAATTTCTGCTAATTTGTGCCTGCTAACACCTCTGCAGAGTCCAGAAACAGAAAATAAGAAAAGTGAGTTTCACTTCCAGCAAAACAACTACACAACCTTTTAAACTGCTTTGACCCTTTTAAGAAATTACTGCATTTGCATGCTAAACTCTGTAAGTCAGGCATTTTGGTGCCGTGGGAAGTTATTAGTTATTAGCTCACCCACTGCAGGAAAAGGATTTGTATGTTCTCACCCATCTTTTTAGAAGCATGTGGGCTGAGAAGCACATTTAACATTTAAATTTAAACAAAAGGAGGACATGCTATGCATTTAAAGTTGATATTCTGTAGACAAGTCGCTGGGGGAGGCAGATCTCTTGGGAACGACTGTGGATGGGTGTAGAGGCTTGTTTGCAGACATTACCTTTATCCCATCTGTATATGTCTTTATCTACGGTTCTTTGGGATAGAGCACAATTTTTATCTTTAAGATCCTCTTCATTCCCTATGCTTCATCGCCAAAGTCTGAATTTGAAAACGAACTCTTTAAACAAATACTCCCAGTAACAATCTTCAGCTCCCAGTTGAAGTGTAAGTGCCTCATCCACAGACAGCAGTCCAGAATTTCTATTTCAGGAGAAAATAGATATTTTAAGAGAAAAATTCATAATGTATATATATCATATATATATATTTAAATATATAGAAATGTATCTGTATTGATTCGATTAAGTTAAACAAAATATGCAATGACAGCAAATAAGCTGTGTTAACTGACCTATTTATGGTTTCTGTTTTATTATATTCTTATTTTAAAGACTATTAGTTAATTATTTTCTTTAAGTTTCTCTTCCTCCTCTAGGGGAACAATAAAAAAATGATCCTACCTTATTTAACCTTTCTTTTATTTAGTTTCCCTCTTCGTTGTCTTGTTGTGTTTAATTGTTTATTTCACTCTTGTATTTATTTGTTCTTCTCATATAGTGGTATTCATGGTAATCAACGCTGACTGATTACATACATTTAAGAAGTTAGAAAAAAGCTCTTTCCGCTCTCTTCCAGGTCTTACGGTAGTGACAGAGTAACATCTTAGAAACGGAAGTGGCAGTGACACAACTTCCTTAGTAACGAGAAGCTACCCAGTGGATTTATGTTAGCATGTTTGGCTAAATGCGTCCATAAAAAACGTTTTTCTGAATTACATACGTTAATTTTAACGTTGTTTTATTTTATTGTTGTATTCAATAAATTATATTATTGATGTATTCGTGTGTCCGAAGTTGTAACAAGCAACGTAGGCGAGATAATTGCTGCTAAATGTGAAGTTAACATTAGCTATCTGACGCTACGGTAGCTCGCTTGGGACGTTACTTCGCACCGTTTACCGCACCATGTCTCTGGCGACATGAATTTCCGGCGGTGGTGTCGTTCCGTTCAGATACTTCTCGTCTTGTGTGGACGTTTAGTTCACGCAGTCACAGAATCGGGGGTCACTTCAAGCGTTGATGTCAGCCCCACAGATGTGGAGTCCCTGAGCTCGGTGACCCCGGCTCCGGGCGGTACACCGGCCGTGGACCCCCCCGGTGTCGGCACCACTACGGCGGCCACCGTGGACTCCACCGTGGACCCCACCGTGGACTCCATGGCAACCACGATGGCAGTGACTGAAGCTCCCTCTGCAGCCACCGCTCAGCCTGTGCTCTCTTCAGAGGGTAACTAACACCCGCCTCCTGGGATGTTTCATGTTATTGGAAATATGAGCTGAAACTCTCAGTGCATCATCCTTTGTTTCCACTCTGCTGCAGTCTTTTGTTTGTCAGGCCAGAGTAAAACCTGTTGCCAAGCTGCTACTCAATATGTGGATGTAGTTTTTAAATCAAGTCGTTAATTCGATTTTCTGAATTAATTGAGCTGCTACTGGTTGGAAATCACTGTGATACACTCATGTGATCAAACTGTATCCCACTGTTAATGCAAGAGAGACCCGGTTTGAACTTCCTCATTTATTTTTTGCAGATCTATGGCTGCCAAACAAACCCTATCACTTGTTCTTAGATGCTGCTTAATAATGCAAAACATTGTGCTTTTTAGTAATTTGTCAATAAAACAATCTTGTATTGCTCAGGCTTTAAAAAGTCTGCCTTTGACAGTTGACTACTGAACTTATGAGAGTATTAATGATAAGATTTCAGAGCTTAATTTGAAAAATAAGGTTAACCATGAAATCGAATGTGAATTAAAAACATATTTATATTTATGTAAATATATATAAAGTCCACAAATGCACCTATGCAGTCTCAACTCATTTACAATAATTAGTTAGATCTAGGTTGTTTCCAATAAGATCAATGGCCACAAGTGTTTCTACTATCTCAATAAAACAACTTAAGCTTTAAAATCATTTGACTGACAGTGTATCCACTATTATGTGCTTTTGTTAAACCAGTGAACCTCATACAAGTTGTCCTGTCTTCTCTGTTGTTATTCAGGTTGTCTCTGTGATTTAACCCCTGATTTCTGTGACATCGGCTGCTGTTGTGACACAGTTGATTGTGGTATTGCGAACTTGAGCACCATCTTCACGGGATGTCCACAAAAAGCCATGTAAGTCTTCTGCACATGTTCTAAAGTTATAGCACGTAAAGTGCACATTTTAAAGCATTTAAAAGAGTTTAAACTCTTATTTTACAGATCGGGAGTTTGCATTGAGAAATGGTTGATGTTCAGGGCTAACGTGGATTCCTCTCTTGTCACTGTGACGGACTCCTTGTTTTGTGTCCGGCCTAAAGGTACTCAAACTAATAAGAATATATTCATATACATATTCAAAAACACTACATAAATCATCTTTAAATTAATTAACAATCAGTGCTATCAACAGGGGAGTCACTAATTTCACAAGACCAGTATATAAGTGTCCTCCATTATGCATTTTTTAAAAACCTCTCCCTACAGATAATGCCCCCCCGTCCCTCCCAGCTCTACCTCAGTATCCAGCTTTAGGGGATTCGTACCACTTCTCACCACCAGCACCTACAAGCAGCACCTACAGCAGAGATTTCTACCGGGTAAACATATATTGTTCTTTTAGGGTGCTAGACATAGCTAAAAGTGTATCTTTAATATATGCAGTGTGTATAACACTCTTTATTTTTGTAGGCTGATGATGTCATTCAGACATATTTCTCCAGCTCATCTCTGCGGGGTCTCCTTCGTCAGCCTTCTCCAGGGACTGCAGCTACATTCTGTGTCAACCGCAACCCTGCAAGTAAGTCCATAATACCAAATGGATAAACAGTCATTACGTTGCTTTATGTATTTTCTGACTACCTTATGTTCTCCTTTGCTTGCAGAGTTCTTGAGGTCTGTGTCTCTGTCTTGTTCCCGCACGTTAACTCCTCAGTCATGCACCACAGATCCAAATCTCAACGCCCGCTCCTACTTCTCTGACCTGAGTCTGATCAAGGTCGGTGAATCTGCCTGCACTAAATGCTTTTATGTAGATTACAGGTTAGGATCTCACTGCGGATCAGCTAACGTCAATATTTTTATTACAGATTCCAACAGTCGAGACGGCACAAGTGTCAGACCTTCTGGTAAGTCACTGACTGTACATATAGCCCAAAGCCATACATGGGATTAGCAGAAACACAGCCATTTTGCACTTCACATGCCTCATACAGTTTTCTCCTGTATGTCACGAGGCAAAAATGCAATATAAATATATATATATAAAGCACAAGTCTTGATTGATGAAGCATCCCTTATACTGTTTCTACAGTATGAATAACTGTATCTTTAGCATTTAAAAATATATTTATTAGGTGTTGACAGGCCAGTCTGTGCATTAAGAAATAAATCCTTTATACCAACATTTAATGCCACTTAAAGACTTGTTTTTTCTTCCAAAGTAAGGAACTGTACCAACTCTTGTTTCAGATCCCCGTTACTCCGCTGTTTGACTGGCCTGAGCCGAGCGAACAAAACAACTCCTGTGTCAATGTGGTGAAAAAAGTAAGCAGATGAAAATGTTTCTTTTTTTCTTTTCTTCCCACCATTGTTTCCTAAATCCCAAATTCAACAAACTCAATCCTCCTTTTCCCGATTCTCCCGCAGGTTCAGTATGTCATAGGGCACACAGCCCGAGGGGAGCTCACATATGCAACAGTAAACGTAGTCTTAGCTGATGTGGATCCAAATCAGTTGCTGCTGCAGACGCACTCTGTACAGTTCCAGGTAGCCTGTTGAAGCCACAGATTTCATCACTTAATGGGCTGCAGATTCAAACACTAAGATTATTATAATTTCTCTCTTCCAGCTGGCAACACCCCGCAGCACTCCAGGAGGACCGGCCCCTGCTCTCGGACTTAGAGCGGGATCCCCTGTCATTGGCCGCTTTGACGGTGAAGTGCAGCCTGTATCCTCACAAACAGCATCATAAACTTCTCTTTAAGTTACATTGTCATTTATGCAGCTAGCTTTGAGTCAATCGTACGTCATGGTTCCTTGACAGTGAGTTAGCTGAGCACACTGGGGGTGTCACAGAGCGGGGAGTGTTCCTCTGACCCCAGCAGACGAGCGCCCATCCTCTTCACACACAACACTATCACTGGTTGCACATTCAGGTGAGTCTCTATCTCTAGTTTTAACTGATGTTTCTGACATGAAGAGTAGTGACGAAATATGTCATATCTCTCTCTCTCTCTCTCTCTCTCTCTCTCGATGTGCTCTTTAGTTCCTCATCTAGTGACTGTTCAGAGCTACGTTCCCAGGTTTACGGGATCTTGCAGGGACTTGCTACTCCTGATGTGATCGCCATGAATTCGGGCTCCCAACTTGACTGGACGAGAGTCATCACCCAGGAGTGTCCCGTCAGCCTGCAGGTACAGCTGAATCAGGAAGTTGAAGTATTTAAGCAAGAAAGTTTAAGAACTTTGAATTATCTGAAACTTAACATTGTGGCCATCTGACCGAATAGGCTTACTGCCAGCACTCGGAGGGTTACTTTAAAAATGTAATCAGATACAATTACTAATCACCTGTTAGAAAATGTAGTCAGTAACCTAATCCGAGTATCAGAATATGAATGTAACGTGGCTTGATTACTGTTTGTTACATTTGGATTACCTCAATACTAAAGATGTAAATGAAAACAAGTGAAAATAAATATCAATAAGAAGTACTGATTCAAGCATTTTCTATACAACAACAGAACAATGTAACCTTGTGAAAGAAAATGGAAACAGAAGATCTTTCGCATCAGAAATATGTCGTCTGCTGAGTGTATTTTCAAAGAAAACTTAATATATTTTAAAATTGTAATTCTGCTAAATAATACTAAATGTAACTGTAATCTTATGATGTCTTTTTGTATCCTTATTACTAAACACAGTTTCATGTAATCTGTTATTCCCTAAGCCTGGTTACTGCTGTTTACAGCAGGATATAAAGATCATTAGACCTGAATAAGGAGTTTTTCACAGCTTTGTTTGACTTTGCTATCTTACATGTAGTTGTACCAAAGGTCCAGTCCTATAACCTATGTTCCTCCTATTAACAGTAATTTATTCTGTTCCATCTCTCAGGAAACATGTGAATCAGGGTGCGTCCTCCCCAACTCTCTCTCTATCCGAGTGCTGTGGGCCCGCCAGGGTCTCTTAGACCTTCCCCAGAACTACATTCTTGGAGCCAAATACCTTTTCCAGTGTCAAAATGTCAAGGTAGGCACATGCACTCTCTCATTGTGAGGCCAGCACCTTCTTTTCTGCACAACACGTTTCTCCTCTATGAAAATGTCCATATACTCTCCTCCCTTCTTTATTTCAGTGTCCTATATCGTCCCCTGTTGCTCTAACCACTGAAGTGACGTTTGTCGACACTACGGTTTACCCAGAACCCCCCAGGGGCTTGCCTCAGCCGAACTGGAAGTTTCCATTTGGTTTCTTCACTAGAGGCACTGCTGAGCTGGACGGGCACGTTGTCATTAACGCCAGTGGCACTGAGAAGGTCACATGGAGTTTAATGCTGTTCACAGTAATGTTACTAACAGGATTAGAATTCTTCTAGTGCTAATGCTAATGCTAGTCGGATCGCTATCAGGGAAGTTTCGAGGGCTCCTTATCTTGAGGAAATAGCTGAAAGAATTTTTACTACATACTTTTATTTTGTTAAGCAGTTTTTTTTACAACATAAAGAGTTATATTCTTAAGGAAAAGATTAAAATGATAAAACACTTTAATTTATTCTTTTGTGCGTTTTCAGGAATAAATACATTTTTACAAGACCTTTCACGAGTCATCATTTCACTGAGGTAAAGATGCGCTACTTGCACACAGGTCCTCTTTTCTCTCCTCCTTTTGGTCTGGTTGGCTTCTGTGCCTTTGTCTCTCCTTTTGTCCTATGCAGCGCACGTAGTGGAGGAGATGGACGATTGCAGCTGGAGTGATACCTTGCAAACGTGTAGCAGCACCCAGCTGGAGGATAAAACACGGCATTAGTTGCATATTATTTAGTTTTTTTAATGTGATAGCACATTATTGGGTTAAAAAAGAACAAAAAGTTATTGGTAAGCAATAAATGGACTATACTCTAAATGTGCAGACTCACAGTGCTGGGTCGAACTCTGTCCAAAATCTCTCTGGCTTCGTTCGACAGTGACACCGGCAAAGATATATAGTCCATATCCTGTGGGAGAGACATGTTCTCCTCCTTCTGAATTCTCGCTATCTCCTTCCTCTGTAGGTCGCAGTGACGCTTGTACACAGCTAAATAACAGGAGAAATGTTTTATTGAGAGAGAATGAACTATGTTATAGTAGCTTAAAGGAACAAAGCAACATTTAGAGGCAATGCAGAAAGATAACTTAGCCAACAATTATAATTACCCTCTATCTTAAGTCTTTGTGAGAACTCCATGTAAGGTGAAAGGCACTCTGGGAAGGCAGATGCCAACATTTCAAAGGACACATCACTGTACTGCAGCACATCCATACCACTGGAGAAAGAAGGCACAAAGTAACAGTCAGGACCACGAATCGACCACAGAGGTACTTCTGACTGTGTCATGAAATACTAGTCACTCACTTCTTGGCCTCACATATATGGATGTCGGGCAGCTTTTTTTTCCAGTTGGGGGAGGACAGAACGAGAGACTGAAGGGCCGCCAGTGCTTCATGCAGACTGTCCCTCACTCTCACAGCCTCCTGGTAGCGTAAGGAGGACACACATCCCACCTCCTCAAATCCTGACAGAGGAAATAGTTTATGAGAGGAGAAAAACTAAAGGACAGGAAGCAGAACAACAACTTGTGGACGTGTGGGCTGTATAAGTTAATCAAAAGAGGAATAAGTGGGAGTGCAAGTGTACTCCAGATGAAATGCACACAATAGGGCCAAGTAATGTCAAAATCCAATCTCATGATATACAGTATTAAACTGAACACCTTGATATTAATGTAATGTGCTTATATTTTAAGGAATTACTGTTGAGATATTTTACAAACAGTGTATTTATTTTTTAAACCTCTATAGTAATGCATATGAATACACAACAATCAAAGTAGACATAGAGGTTATCTTTTACCTTGGTCAGCTAGGACAATAGACTATAAAATAAATAAAATGGACATTTGATTGTAAATGACAAAGTACCGGACACTGTGCCTACCTTTCAGAGTGAGGCGGAGGTCAGCGTTGTCCGGCCTTAGAGAGGTTCGAAACTCAGCCCGGCTGGTGAACATGCGGTAGGGCTCTGTAACGCCTCGACTCACCAGATCATCGATGAGAACTCCAATGTAACTCTCAGTCCGAGACAATGTCACTGCAGGCATGGAGAGTGCCCAGCGGGCGGCGTTCACCCCCGCCCACAGGCCCTGCACAGATAGACACAAGAGGTTTCCTCAGTTTTAAATAGTTCCTCTTATTACAGATTATTCTGGTTCAGTGTAACTCATACAGTGTCAGAAAGCTATGATGCCCATGGTGCAGTTCTACACCTTAGATTTAATGTAATTTAATGACTGCCATTCGATTAAAATGTGAATATAAGTCACAATGTTAAACAAGCTGTTTGCATAATTGCAGTGGGAAATAATAACATTTATTAATTCTATAAAAACTATTGATTTGATCTTGGGCCAAGAACATAGCTGCTAGACAATAATCACTGCCACTACAAATAATGGAAGAAAAACTATGAATTGGCATTACAGAAAAGACCCACGTCTGGTCTGTTTCACGTCTGTCCACCCAGCAGAAATACCCACAACACCAGACCTAACTGAATCCCTGAATAAATCATACATGTTGGCAGAGGTGTGTAACCAGACTGACTATAGGCCTGTATGGGTATATTTCTATTAGTGTGTATGTATGTGGAAGGAAAAGTTGTTGTTTTTTTGTTTTATGACCGACAATAATGGCTAAATATAGTGTACAGAAAGAAAGCAGCTACCTGTGCAGCAGCCTCCTCGTACCCCGTTGTTCCGTTGATCTGACCGGCCAGAAAAAGACCTTGGGTGCTTTTCACCTGCAACGCAGGGCTCAGCTGAGTGGGACACACAAAATCATACTGCACACCATAACCTGGAAAAAAAATAAATAAATAACACACATTCATTCACTGTTCAATCCAGATCCATTGACTGCAGGCAATCAAACAGGACTCAGGCCGTGTACCAGGTGTGTGGATCTCTGCTCTGTGCATGGCAGGGATTTCTCTGATGAGGCGGAGCTGGATGTCAGGGGGCATGGTCATGGACAGACCCTGAGGGTACAAAAGGTCAGAGGTCACTCCCTCAGGCTCCAGCCACACCTGGTGCTTTCGGCCTGGAAAGCGAAGCACTCGAGACTCGATGGAGGGGCAGTACCTGTGAGAGACAAGGACTACAGTTAGTACTTTTGAGTTTCAGAAAACACTGTACAGTGTCTAAAATGTACATTGTGAGTCTGTGGGTATGTGTGTACCTGGGACCCTTGGCGTCTTGCTGTATGTGACAGTTGAGATGAAGACTCTCCTGCACAACTCTCTCTACACCGGGGGTAGTATAGGTCAGGTAGCAAGGCAGCTGCTCCTCAGGCTTAAGAAGTGTTTAGTTTCAAAATAAAGTATTCATTAATTAGAAAAAAAACACTGACAATTTCAGTGAGCACTTTTAGGATCTCCTACACTATGAAGTAGGGCTGCACGATATGGTACATAAATAATGTTGCGATTATACAGACATATTATAATTAAGATAAAATTATATTATATTCATATAAACTACTGAAATCATGATGATGTGACATTTGTTGGGGTCCATACCAAACAAACACATCTGGAGAACCACATTTGGAACTACTTGGAAAGGTAACTGTACAGAAACTTTACCTTGCAGCGTGTGTGTGTATTGAGAAAGCTAAAGGGAGTTGGAGGACTGTCAGGAAGGTGAAGGTGAGCCTGGGCAAGGTCTACTGAATCCTTCACAATCCTGGGAGGGGTACCAGTCCTCAGCCTGCCTATCCTCAGCCCCAGCCTCTCCCTCATCGTCCGGGACAGCCCAGCACTCGACGGGGCATCTCCAATCCGACCCCCGGGGGACATGGTTTGGCCCATGAAGAGGGAGCCAGTCAAGAAAGTACCAGTAGTAAGAATCACGGAGCTGGCTGAGATTGGGTCGCTTCCATTTTCTGAGAAGAAGTACAAAATCATAAAATGATTAAGATTTTTTCTGTAATTACACACTTAAATTTGCAATAATGGAAATGCATTTTACTGGTTGCCACAGTTGTTAGAGATTGATATCAGATGTCAAACAAAAGTCTGTCTGATATTTAGGACACATTTGAATCTACTGACCACCTTGATTCTGCATTCAGTATACAGTACGATCCATAATCAGCCACTCAGGCTGCACAGACACCAAATTAAATTTTTTAATAAAGTAATAATTTACTTCAAGTTGGTTCTCTACTAAACTGACTAATAAACAAGTAAAGACAAACTAGCCATTTAAACCCTCATCATAAACATTGGCAGATAGCTCTTAATTGTTCCTGACCTAAACGTATCCCAGTGACTTTGTGGTGTCCAGGCTCCTCTGGGTTTGGTTCTGTGACCAGCAGGTCCTCCACTGAGCCCTCCACAACGGTCAGCCTGGGAGTGGACAGCAGCTCAGACTGAATGAGCAACAGCAGGCAGAACACATAGTTAGTGACATTTTTATTCATTCGCGGATAGAAATTTTGTTCTATTAAAAGGACCAGTGCATAGAATTTAGTGGCATCTAGTGGTGATGTTGCAGATTGCAACTAACTGAACACCACTCGCATCTGCATTTGACGATCTGGGAATGAGAACAGGCTATGAAGTGTGAAGGAGAAACTATGGTGGCCGGTAACCTTGTAAAAAACGTGAAAAAAGGCCCTATCTACGCTCCTAAATGTTACACACTGGGTCTTTAAAAACAGATGATGAAACCTTATTTTATATCTGTGCACCTGAATGAATTTGCGGTAGCGCTCGCGGTCCAGCTGGGCTCTCGGGCCCCACACAGCAGGGCCTTTTCTACGATTCAGGATGGAGAAATGGATCCCAGCCCAGTCTCCTGCTCGACCACACAGCCCGTCCAGAGCATCTACCTCCTTCACCAGCTGGCCCTTCCCTACTCCTCCCAGAGACGGGTTACAGGACAGGGCGCCTAGAAAGAAAAAAAAGGTCATCAATGAAATTGTTAATCAGTTTATCACCAAAACCTTCAAATAAAAAAAAAAATATCTAGATGGACATAGAATCACTTTAAAAGAAGCTCTTCCTCTCACCGATGGTATGTATTTTCTGTGTGACCAGGAGTGTCTCAGCTCCCACTCTGGCTGCCGCTGCCGCGGCCTCAGTCCCTGCATGGCCCCCACCCACAACAATGACATCATACTGCTGACGGGCAATGTGACTGGCATGTCGGGAAACCTGGACCAGGAAACTTCGCAGGGGGGGAAGCTTCTTTGTCAACATGTGAGAAGTACACCTGTAGAGGGAGGGTTACATGGAACATGATGACATTTCTATTGGGGAAAAAACGCCTTTAATCTGGAGTTAAATAGAACTTAGTTCATACTAAGGCTGCACAATTAATCTAAATATTATCAAAGAGCCAATGTGGCCAAGTGCAATATCCAAATCGCAGAAGCTGCAACGGACAAATGTGTAACCAAACAGCTTTATAATGAAGTACTGTAGTGCTGCAGAGGTGCCCTGTCCTTGTTCTCCAGATGTAAATAAACATGTTTGTTTGGTAAAGACCCAAATATCTGTCTATATAATTGCAATAATATTTTTTACCATATGGTGCAGCCCTACTACAATCCAATACCACTCCATATTTTGATGTTTAAGTTGCCCTAACTACTTTATGTACTGCTGATAATGTACCACAACAAAAGGGCTAAATATTATAAAGGATAACAACAATGAATGAGGAACTATAAAGGCACAAGGCTTAATGATTCAATCACATATGAATCAATCACTACAGATAAAGTTCAGTTTACTCAAATACTATTCATCCCCCTGTGTGGATCAATAAGGTTATCTTACACATTTTCGGTGCAGCTTTACTCTGAATAAAATGAATTTGGACAAAACCATTTCTGTGTAGGTATTGGGACCACAGCATGTTCTCTATTTAACTTTACATGGGATCAGAAGAACATGTAACTTACGCACTACATTTGTAATCACGTCTATAAGGTCTACATCCATCGTCACTAACATACTTACAGTTTCGGCAGGAGATCTTCTGTTCAAATGTAATGTTTCTGACAGAGGAGAGTGAAATGTACGTAAAGATCAAGATCCTTAGGAAATGAGGTTACAAAACTGCTGCCATGTAACCCTAAACGCTCTTTATGGAGGCTGCCATTGCAGTCGTAATAACGCGAATAAAAGCGCACTGACAAAGTGGTTCAGCTGGGTCAGCTCGGTTTGCCAAGGCACTGGCTGTCCTCATAAATTGTAGATTAACTCATGAATGAAATGAAAAAACAAAGCAAGCAGCAGCCGCATTATGCACATGTGAAGCTGGAGGGTAAAGGTGCAATTAATAAACATCAAGGTGACACTTTGTAAACAAAGAAAACAACAAAACAATATTGATGTTTTGCGCGCTGCCACGTGTACACTCGAAAAAACCACCCAGTCGTGTGTTTACATCGGACACAAAACAGCATCAATCAAAATATTGATCAAATCCACACATCATCGCACGTACGCGCGCTCACTAGTAGGTCAAAGGCGCACGCGCACGTCAACGCCCCCTCCCCCTTCCAGCCGGTTTCCAGTCAGCCGCGCGCGGATTGAGTCAAGTGAACCTACCGAGAGGTGGTGTTGACCGACCGCAGCAGGTTTTCAGTAAGAAACCTGAATACATCTTAACTTCTCAAGGCGACTGACACTAACGCCGAGACCTTAACTCTCAACGGAAGGGTCAGCGGTGCCGGAATTAAGGCGACGCGACAGAGAGAAGAAAGTAAATCCCGAAGTGAGCTTGAGGATCAGAGCTAATGCTAACTCAGATAGCCGATTGCTAAATAATTATACGGAAACTCGTGTCATTTTTTTTTCTTTCTAGTCGCTTGTGTTGACATAACCACTGCGGTTACAAAGTAGATAGTTGGGGGGGGGATTAACTGTTAAGTTATATGTTGCATTTAATTAAAATAGCGAGGTCTTTAGCCTTTACATTTTAGGCCACAAGCGACTGGTATTCACTTAGCAAGATTAGCTACAATAGCCGGTGTTATTGAGGTTACACCGGCTCTGCGCTGCTTCAGACAGGTGATATTACTAAACATAGTTCGCTTTCAAAGCAAACCAGAGGTATCGGTGTTTGTGAGTTAGCTTTACACTTCGTACTGTCTAAGCTTTGTGCTTCGCGATGCTGAAACAACAGCAGCAACCCGGCTCAGGCGGGAGAAAAGCGTCCAACGGAACCTCGGGCCCCGGTGGTATGTCTTCCCCAGTCAGCGGCATCAACAGCGGCAACAGGACACCGGCCGGGAGGTAAGCTTGGTTGGGGGGTTTACTGTCAGGACAGTCCGGGGATTGTCCTGTGACTCAAAGGCCTACCGGTTAAAGCGCTGTGTGCTCAGTGGGTGTGTCTCGGAAACAGAGCCTCGCTCTCGGCCAATGGGATTCGTCTATGTTAGATTGACAGCCGCCGTGGGCCAATCAGAGTGCTCAGATTGAACCGAAGACAACGACGCGAGGAGGGTCTGAGTTTTGGTGAAAGCAAGGAGTAGCAAATCAGCATACAAGCGATACAAAGTTTATCTGGCCTGTCAGTGCCAGAGAAAGGACGTTGATGTTTGTAAAATGTTCATTTCTTTTTTTACATCAACACGTCTTTGTAGCTAAGAAAAGTCTCATATAGAGACGTTATAATTAATATAGGAAGTAATTATTGGCCAGCACAAGGTCATATGTGGTGTAATTCTGGTGTGATTGTGTGTTTACTGAACTCTTGTCTCAGTCTTTGTTTTGTAACCGTGTATGTGACTGGCTACCACCCCATGTGCGTATTCTTAATGGAGGGTGCGTAATTGTATTGTACCCAGGTTGATTTCAATCCCTTTTATTGAATGCATGAAGATGAAAGTATTCCTCTAAGCCACGTTTCATTTAAATGATGTAACTCTCACTTTTCCATTCTTTCTTGAAGAGATTAAAATGGTGTCATCCATTTTAAAGGGATCAGTAAAATGTAAACATGTTTTTGGAAATTGTCCAGTAATTTTGCTTTCTTTAAGATTTAAATTAATACACATTACCTTCTTGAAAAGGCCTCAGGTGGCAGTGTTTTTGCTTTAAACTACAAAGATGGCAGGTGGAAGCCTAATACCTAACACAGGAAAGGTTGACAGCATTTATATATTAATTAAAAATGGGCGATTGAAGAGATCATGTATGCGGTTTACATCTATGTTTTCAGCACAGCAGGAATGTTGATTTGGGAACTTGTTAGACCTGTAAGCTTTTAAATGTCTCCAGAACTAGTCATATTCTGTGTATGTGAAACTTGGAATGCGACAATGCCTTGACAGGCTTTGAAAACAAGTTATACTCCTTTCACTTCTAAGCAGACAAACATGTTGAATTGTGTTGTTCTCTTACAGGAATCGGCCATCTACAAAGCCATCATTCCAGTCATCTCCGGTGAGTATCCTGATCCAAGTTCAAGTCTGGAAGCAAACAAACACACAGCATATAATGCACATTATTAAAACCTGTGGGGAGATTAACTTTATGTCACAATCATCACCTTTTTGACTACATATTTATTGTATATATTTGGAAATCAGCATTTTGTGGGTCTCTCAATTGATCTTATTTTAAAATATAAGGGTTTTACTCCTGTTTTAACAAATCTCATTGACACAAAACACATTTTATAGGAAATGTTGTGTGCAGGACCTACAGTCAAAAAGAATCTGACGACTAGCAACAAACCTGAAACGGTGAATCAAATGTGGGTTAAACTTCTGTTCAGGAAAGTGGGTCTCCTGCTTAAAAGGGGCTTTAGGAAGTTTATATAATTCAGCTCCTCACCTGTTACTTTGCCTTCAGAATGGACTGCACACTTTAATGTAGTGGTTAACGCTATATTATAATGATGTTTTAGTATAAAAGCATGTTCTTTTTAAATAAATCCCTATGTGATGTTTTTCAATGTCATGTCTTGGTGAAGCTTTGCTTGATGGATGCTCGTACCTTTTCCCATCTGCAGGTGTTTGAGGGTGTGTACAACAATGCCAGAATGCTTCATTTTCTCACAGCTGTTGTGGTAAGTCATTTGGCTTGTTATCAATAGGGTGATGCAGGGATGATGCCTTTTTGGGGGCCTACCCGGAAGTTAACTTCACCCTGGTTCCTTTGACAAAAAGTCAGTGGGATTTTCCCATTTGATTTTGGATTATTGTAGAAAAAAAGCTCTGTGGGGAACACAAGTGTATGATATTTACATGTTTTGTTCAGCAAGATAATCTTGGCAAATAAACATTACCTTCTGTGATTTGCGATATGTGATTGCCAGAAGAAAAAAGCTAATGTTAGGCTATAAACAAACTACAGCAAGGTCTCATGCCTTCAATGTCACCACCACTCAACTTCCAACTTGTAAGTAAATCTTGTAATTAAAATCTACAAGTTGGGAAGTTTGAGTGGCAAGCTTCTAAATTTACTGATGTATTTTATGACTTAGAACAAACGTAAAAATCTCTTAAACTTGTTTTAAACACAGACCTTATTTCAGGCATCTAACCAAAAACCCATTGACTTTAGGTCGAGGGAACTGGAAGTACCAGGTTCAGTTCCAGGTTTTAGGACTCATTCTTGCAGCACTTAGTGTTCTTCTCAGATCAGGATGATTATTTATTGCGTCCCCCTTGGACATGAACCGTAATTGTTAGAGGTAACAGGTAACTTACCTACTGTAAAGCTACCTTTTCATTGGTCTATTGTGTTTGTCCCAAGCAGTGAAGGGTTAGAGCAGCAGGCAAAAGGCTGCTGGTTATAATGCTTTTTTCATCTGACTGAGGAAAACTGTATATATTACTTTTGCTTCTGAAGGACCAGTCCTGAATCCTGTGTCATATCCACTCCTGATATGAATTATTTACAGTATACAGGATGCAGTGTACAAAATATGTATAATTAATCCACAAATGCTACGTATTTCTGATCTATATATTAAAGTTGAATAAGGTTTTCAACAACATTTTTATCTCTCTCTCTCTCTCTCTCTCTCTCTCTCTCTCTCTCTCTCTCTCTCAGGGTTCCACCTGTGACATAAGAGTGAAGAACGGCAGTGTATTTGAAGGCATATTCAAGACTCTCAGTTCTCGGGTAAGAAGCTCATGGCATGCACTTCCCACTGCCTGTTTAATGAAACACTGCAAGTAATCCTGTTACTGTACTGGTAAATTTGTGTCAAGGAAAAATATAGCCTTTATAGTTGTTTAATTTGTACTCTGCAAGTTCACACAGTCCTTAAATTCCTGCTGCCTTCCCAATGTTTGGTGCTTAGTGTGAGTTGGCTGTGGACGCTGTACACAAACGCAGTGAGGAGGAGGGCCCAACATCAGTTCCGCCACGGAGGGAGGAAATCACAGACACAATGATCTTCAGCCCCTCAGACCTGGTGACTATGATCTGCAGAGATGTTGACCTCAACTATGCTACCAGAGGTACAAACACACACATGCTGGGGGCCAGGGTAGCGGGGAAAGGAAGTAAGAAATACGTCCTCAAAGACTTGCAATGCATTAGTAGCAAATACATATAGTTCTTCCTGAAACAAAGAAGATGGCTTTGTGTGATGTAAGCATTTGATTGTAAGTGCTGTAAATGATGATAAAGTGCACAATGAGTGAAGTATCTGAGTTGATTGTGTGTTAGACATGACTGGTTTGAATTGCCTTTTGATCTCATGAGGAACAGGGGGAGAGACAACTGATTTGAAGGCAAGGCTCCCATTTTCTGCAACATGGTTAAAATAACTTTTTTTTTTGTCTTTGGTTTTAGACACCTTCACAGACACAGCTATCAGCTCCACCCGCGTCAATGGAGAACACAAGGAGAAGGTTTTGCAGAGATGGGAGGGAGGAGACAGCAATGGAGAGAGTTACGATCTGGAAAATGATGCAGTGAGTTGCTCTGTTTTTAACACATACAGAAACGCCAACTAAACATCTAATGATATGAATTCCCTTTGGCCTCAGAAATGGTGTTAGATATATGCACCTCAGTTATACATACATCTTATTTAGTTCATTATTCACACCTCAGTCTTTTGAAACAAGTTGACTATTAAGAAATCAACCTTTTTAAAACTGTTTTACTAATTATGCATTATTGTGATATACTGATTTTTTTCCCCACACAATTGACCTGTTTGTTCTTGTTTTTTTTTTTTTTCAGTCCAATGGCTGGGATGCTAATGAGATGTTCCGTTACAATGAAGTGAAATATGGAGTTACGTCAACATATGATTCCAGCCTTGCCATGTATACGTAAGTTTCCATATGGATTCATTGGCTTCAGGAATGATTGATTAATTATTATTAAGATGAGCCAGAAACTGGACAACAGTTAATGACCTGAAATTCTGCTGTAATTTACACCATGTCATTTTATGAGTTTTCGCTTACTTCTAAAAAAGGATCCATTTTTCTTTTTTGGCCAAGTAAGAGATCAGGGAAAAAAATAGAAGCTGGTTCTTCTTTCAGCTTCTTTCAATCGTAGGCGGTCAGAGCAGTAAGACTCTGCATATGTATCCTTCA